ACGCTGCCTTTAAAATCTTTGGGCAGACCACTAGTGAGTAATTGAACATTAAATTTTTGGGAATTCACAGTTTACAGTAGTTGAAGCAATATCAGTTTTGCAGTTTTCAAGGTATGTTCTTGAAAGTTTTCTGCATATATAGAGTGTGCTTCGACTCAGTTTAGGCCGAAACCGGAGTGGCTGCCGTCCTTCGCAACCGTTCGCGCGTTTCGCAACTTCGGTATATCATAACTGTTAAGGAGCCAGTCAACATTTCGTTTTTTTAGAACTTTGCTTAAAAAGCCGGCTATCTGCGCTTGCACAATGAGCCGCAGTGAAGCGGACGCTCCTCTTCATATGAATGCTTCGACCGGGAGACGGTCATGAGGCGCGATTTTTTGGCCACGCCCTCCTCGCATATCACCTTCGCGTCCATCACTACAGCCGCATGTGCTCGAACGCGTTGCGGTTGCTAGAATCACTCGAATCCTATGTGGCAAACTCGCCCATTACCTCAAAGCCTAGGTTAGTCCAGGGTTTGCTACAGCTAGGTGAGCAGGGGAAGGATGCTGCTGACCTCACATGGAAGATTTGCAGATTGATTCAAGGAAATCCTCGAAACTATCGTATGAATATGCGCTTTTCTGTTTTCCATTCTTTTTTCATTCACTAGCGGTCCAGTGTCTTATATGTGTAGGAAATGTCGCCCCGAGCCGTGGAAAAGCCATCGGATAGTTTCCAGGTCAAGATGCAGCGTCTGAGCTACTAAAAAAGCTCTGTTGAATTTGCAGGGGAGTAGCTGATTGAAATACTCATTGCTTTAGCTTTTTGGCTTGCTATAACTCTCTGCCGCAATTGGGGATGAAAATAAGGTTGAAAACTGCGCGAACGGATTCACGGGACTTTTGGCTTACGAAGGTGAATCGTTAACTAAACTTTCTACAAACTCGTAATTTAGTTCAGCAATTAAATTCGCAGACCATGGATTATAGCGCAAAAAGTGAGCAAAAAGTCTATTCCTTCAAAAACGCTGAAAAGAAATCAATGCATAGATGATAGATTTGTTAAGGTTTCACTGAGAATATGTGAAGAGTTTCTCAGAAGTCTTTCACGGAATGACTACCTTCAAGGAAACTATCAAAGCATAATAACTGCCGTAACTGACTAAAATTCGCTTTCGAACCTTCTACGAAATAAGTTTTCCCCAGCCAAAATTACTGCTATCACATGGAAAAGCTAACGAAGTGAATAGTTCTTCTAATTATTCTTGATGGTCCAGAATTGCACGGCATTCGGAGCACAGTAGGAGAAAGAGAACATCAGCGAGCAAGAGGCAGAGATATAGATAAAGCCAGTGCGACCCTCTGCGAAGCGGAGGTGACGCACTGTGTACATGTATAAAACTCACTTTTTCTGTTTTGAGGGTATGTTAGCTTTAGAAACGAGTGCCACTCAACCGATTAGACTGGAACTTCCACACGCACCTTTTCCACCCTAGCTCATAGTTCACAGGCTAATTTTTGCGGCGACACACCGGATTCTTCTATCGAATAATTGATCTACTCACATTGCAACGATGAATCCTTATCAAGCCAACAAGTCAGCACTCAAATAAACAACATAGGTTCCAGGTTTCATACAAACAAACAAAACAACATTGGTGCACGCGCACGACGCGCACAAACTTCGTGATACGTAAAAACTCTCCTCTACACGACACAGCGGCAAAAATATGGGAGAACGGGCGAATATGATGGTGCCAGTTTCGCGCAGGCTGTCTTCTTACGTGCCCATATTTTTTCTGGTGCATCTGTACTGAAACAAACATACGGCAGAACTGCAAAGCGAATAACATTTTCATTCCGTAACATAAGACAACATACGATATATGCATCAAGAACTGCCAGAAAATCCATAAGATCTAAGGCATACCTCATGCGATTCCAGTCGCTGTGCGATTTGACACTGCAGCGACTCTTCATAACTGGTCGTAAGTGCGCTTTGTATGCGCCAGACTTGATG